AGCTGCCATACTAACTAATCCTTTTACGCTGTAAAGTTCGATTATGACAAGTGAAGAGAACTCTATTTTGCACGCACAAATAAATAAAACAATTAATTTAAGATTTAAAATTTAAGTTAAGACGCTCATATAAAGATCTTAAGGACCATAAAAAAATATTTAAATTTTCAAACTAGTTCAACACATTAACGTATGGAAAGGTACCAATAAACAAGTTGTCAAAATAATTAATCAATAACATTGATCGATGAACATTTGCGGATTTCGAGAGCGTGTATAATTTTTTTATTTTTTGTATAATTTTTGTGAATGTGAAATATATCTCTTTACCACTCGGCCACATATTAGTTTTAAGATCTTGTGAGAAACAAGTATTCGACACAATCGTGGGATCAAAAATTAATCAGTCGCATGTTCGTTTATTATTCGTCGCTTTTGACAACTTAAGCTCATTCAAGAGATGACCATTGATATTATGTCTAGTATGAAAAAATGGTCAATTCGAACAAAATAACTTAAGTGTGACTACTAGTGTGGTCTACGCGACCGCAGCCGAGCATTTCGAGCAGATTGGCATGAACTTGCGTGCCCTCATTGATGGCTGTCATTCATCAAACTGTCAAAATCTTGACATGCCACATGCGTCCCTGTATTCACTGAACCTATGCGTATTAATTATTAATGCAGGAAATTTTTGTTTGATTTTCTATAATTTTTTATCAATATGGCATTTTCAAATACAGGGTGCATACTACTAATAAAATTGTTTGAAAAAGATTTAAGGTGGAAACAAATCATGATTCAATTATTTTATTTTTTTAAATAGTCTTAAAACATATATATTTCTACCAAAACTGTTTCATTATTTAATCAAAAATTCCTCAAAATTAATATATTATATATTTCTTTTTTCACTAAAATCGTCATTCGCCCTATTGCGCAACCTTCTATTGCTTTTTAATACACTGTCATATTTTCTTATTTGCCCGTTTACGGAACTATTTTTGTGTGGAAATCGTTGCGGTCTCACAAAGCAATACAAAATAGTTTTTTAAATACCGAAAACTCATATGCAACAAATGAAATTAGTAATCCAAAGGCTTCGACTTTGATTTTGTAAAACAAAAAGTTAGATAAAATATTTACGTGACATTTTAGCGCAGCACCAAAAGGAGTCGTGCAAGGCAGAAGAAACGAAAACAAGAAAAAACGTTAACTTCGGTTGCACCGAAACTAAATACCCTTCACAGGTGCACTTCTGTTAGTAACATTGTGTTCAGTTTGTATGGAAGCTATATGCTATATAAATTCGTTCTGAACAATTTTTTTGGAGATTATATTGTTACCGTAAGCAGTAATCCATGCCAAATTTCGTGAAGATACAACGTCAAATGTGAAAGTTTTCCATACAAGAACTTGATTGCGATCGTTCAGTTTGTATGGTAGCTATATGTTATAGTGGTCCGATATCGGCAGTTCCGACAAATGAACAGCTTCTTGAAGAGAAAATGACGTTTGCAAAATTTCAAAATGATATCTTAAAAACTGAGGGACTACTTCGTATATATACAGACAGACGTACATGGCTAAATCGACTCAGCTTGACATGCTGATCATTTACATATATACTTTATAGGGTMTCCGACCCTTCCTTCTGGGTGCTACAAACTTCGTGACAAACTTAATATACCCTGTTCAGGGTATAAAAACTGAATACTTAGAAAAAAAGCAAAAAAAGCGAAAAAGAAAGAAGAAATGACATGGTGTTGGTGTTGCTGTAGCGCAGCTACTGAACCAGTTCAATTCGTAACACTTCGGCTGATAACAGCACAATACGCTGCATATTCACTCACACATATCGTTGTAATCAAGTGCTGGGTTTTGACTAAGGTGTGAATGTGTGTGGCTTGACTGCTTGTTGCGGTCTCCCTGCATTGCCGCTTTTATCCGATAATCATCGTGGTGTGACTGAGCTAACTTCCATCGGCATATGTGTGGGTATTGCGGAAGGTGTGTCAATATACGTATGTGTTTATGGTATTTTTATTCAATGAAAGTGAATGTTTTGTTGAAGAAACGGTTCTTTTTAGTGGAATCTACGAACCCAAAAAACTTTAATTATGAAAAGAGGTCAAGTGCGGGTTGAAAGAGAATGAAACTGTTTTTAAGTAATTAGCGCACTAAATTAATATTTGGCAAGTATTTTTTAATCATCAGCCGAGCCCTTAGTGCGAATTTCGTCGGTAAAATTAAAATAGATGAAGTTATTATACCCTGAACAGGTTAACTTGACCTGGGCTAGGTTAGGCCTGTCTGTTGTGATGTTCGTTGTGATGCCCATAACTGGATTGTCCCTCGTAAATTGACAAAAGACTAAGAGCCTGTCACAATTTTGTTGAGGTGCTAATATCAATTCGAGTCAATTCGCCAGGTTCGTAGAAAATTTGCAACCGAGACGCATGCACGTTAGCCTGGCAAGAGCTGAACACTTCAGAAGAAAGTGTTAGTTGTTGCTTCCTTATAGAAAAGTACAGTGGTCTGTCAGCCTAATATATTGGATTGAGAGATTTTGGTAGCATACTCATTCTACAAGCTTCAACCCTTCCGTGAAAAATCTATTTGCGAATCTTATCCAGTGACTCCGTTCCACCCACATATTTCTCGAAGGTATGTGCGCGGATAGGATTCTGCTAGGAGTGGACTACGTCACCTATTAGTCCAAGTTATCAGGGAAACAGTCAAGGGAAACAGCAGCATCTCTATAAAATACAGGGTTTGTCCGGAAAGTAATATCTTAAATCTAAATCTAATCTTTAAAAACTTTCAAAATAGTCCCTTCTGTGCTGATGCAACGCTGCCAGCGCGTTTTCCAAGTATTGAAGGTGTCACAGAAAGCATTTTCCGGAATAGCCTTGAGAGCTGAGGTGCATGTTGCTTGGATAGCCTCTGTGATCTCAAAATGCTTACCTTTCATGGACCTTTTCAGCCATGGAAATAAAAACACGTCCGTTGAGCCACATCTTGGTTGTAGAACTAGCTGTTCTCAAAAAAGGCGGTGTGAGCCGGGGCGTTGTTGATAATTGACCCTTCGTTTGAGTCTCTTGAGGATTTCCACGTAAACCTTGGAGTTGACGGTTTGTCCAGGAGGAACAAATTCGTGGTAGACTATGCCTTTGATGTCAAAAAGGACAATGAGCACCGTTTTGACTTTTGGTCTGGGCATTCTTCCCTCCAAAAAGGCCCGGTGCCACCGAAACACACCACTTTTGCTAAAGCAAGATCTGGGTAAGCCAGCTTGACCATATCAAACGTCTCTGTAACACATTTACCGAATTTCACACCGAATTTAATAGCGTACATTTGCTCTAATGAACGCTGTATTTTCGGCTTGCAGCACTCACAGAAACACGTCGCCCGAAAATGTTTGTCCTAACTCTTCAGGTACTCGAAAATAACTGACCAGGCGTTCGTTAGTTAGGAACGCCCTCTACCGAATCCAGACGGTGTGTGCACGCTCCGAAGTACAGTCCGGCGGAATAAAATCATCCTATTCCTGACAACCGTTGTATATGTGTATATAGCGACCAGCGAGACTGGCTGAGTTTGCGGTATCCGTCTGAGTTTTTGAGATATCGACCTGAAATTTTAGAATGGATCCTATGCAGCGATATAATTGTTCAGAGCGGACCGCTATAGCATATATCTGATTGATTAAATTCAATCTTTGGTATCAAAAGTTTTTCGATTTTAAAAGGATATTGTAGCTTCGATGTAGCCGAAGTTAGCCGGGTAGCATTATGGAATATGGTGAACTTCTCTCCGATGATTATGTGCTGAGATGATTTCCCCGTAATCACGCCTGCAGTTAAACCAACTACTCAGAACATTATTAAGACATACTACTGCTTCTTTCATACATTGAATAACTGCAAGTTAAAGCTCTAGTTATCGCAGATGAACAGCTCGAGCTGCTATAAGAAGTAAGAATAACCTTAACATAATTACAAATTGATACTGGACCCGATACAATTTAATATTCCTCTTTAATCCGAAAATCTCTACAATTTCGTGGATATAAAACAGTTTTGATAGTTCGGTTGATACTGCAATGTGTTAATTGATATACTTTATTTACACTACTATCAATTATAGATCGCTTAACAGAAGGCGCCAACAACAATATCAAGCTAACACAAGTTCTTCAAGAGAAAACCGGGACTCTACTTTGAAATATTTCCAATTTTAAATACCATTTTACTGACATACATACATACAAAACAACGGATCTACACAAATACATACACATTACACGATTATAAACATAAGCAAAGACCAATTTGTGACACATTTTACTCCACCGATCGGCTGGCGCTAGCCTCCTGTTGCCTGTTGTTGATGTTGGTGTCATCATTGTCGCTGCGCTGCTGTTACAGGTCAGCGGCCATAATGGCAACACCAACAACACCCAAAAAAACAGCAACGCCTGCGCTGGCCATGCCTTTGAGCACGCAATCGACTGCGGTCGGCAACTTTTTATTGTCGTCTCGTTTCTTTTGGTTAATTCGTTGTTTTCGGCTTTTTGATAATGCTGGCAAACGTATGCGTTGTAATTGTTGTAGTTGTTGCGACCACTCTTGCAGCTGAATTTCCTGTTGCTGTTGTTGTGAATGCTGTATTTGTAACTGTTGCTGGCGCTGGTGCTGCCGCTGTCGCTGCTGCCAAAACTCTTGATACAACTTCTCCCTTTCTTGTATCTTTTGATTGTACTGGTATTTCCATTCCATTTGGCGGCGTATTTGGTGCGCTTCTATCTGCTATGTGCCGGACGTCGTCTTCAGGCAATATTTCAGTTAACTTGACGATTTCAATTCAGTCCAAGTTGGCATTTTCACCGGCACAGTTTTGTAAGCTCGCGCGCATGCGCTGACAAAATCGTTGCGTTTCGTGCGTTATTGTTGAGTTTAACTATTGATTTCGTTTTACACTAACTTAGTTAAATAGAAAAGGATAAAACTGCAAATTTTTTATAGTGCTCGCGTTAGTTATTAAACAAATTCACAAAGAATTTTTATCCACTCAATAACGAGGTGAATCTTTTTTATTAATTTTTGCACATATACAAATAACAATTTAAACAGAAAATAATAATGATACTGAAGGAATTTTAACCTAAAAGATATTTGAAAATTTTAATGTGACTTGTGACAGTGTTGAAAAATAATACAAAATTAACTGAGTTCAGAAAAAAATAATAATAAATTAAAATAAAAACATTTCGGGTTAAACTCTGTGAACATTTAATGATTATTAAGAAATTTAAAAACTAACAGCAAAATGAATATAAGATTTGTGTTAACAGTTAAGTCGTGTGATGAATATTAGCTCCACAGAAAGCTAGTGTTTAATTGAGGCAAATCTGTCCATTTCGTGGCCAAGATCCTCGTGCGTTATTGTTGAAAATCTGGCCAAGGTCTTAGAGCATACTACTGAAACAAATATAATAAAGTCTATAAAAAAATTGGCATTTTCACCAAAGGGAATAGTTTTGAGTGTAAATGATTTTCTGCTATCGGATTCTGAACCCAAAACACATCTAAAGGTTATGATCCAAGCAATAGTTTAGGAGAAAGTTCCCTATATTCCAACAGCACGTAATTATTCATAATTGTAATTGGCTGTGACACAAATTTTAAGAATGTCCTTAATGTTTCAAATATTTTCCCTTTACTTCTTTAAAATTTTGGAAAAAAAAACATAGTATAAATCATTAAAGTTTTAATTTTTTTAATAACAAGGCAATTAAAATGGTCGGTTTCTCTATTTCAAAATTTAGTTTTCAAATGGTTACTTTCTGCTATTTAATCCTTAAACCCAGCCGAAAGCCTTTGATGCTAGCGCTGCGTACTTTAGTTTATTTAATAATTTGTTGTTGTTATGTAAGCTTTAATAAAATATAAAAAAAAAAAATAAAAATCCTTAAACCATTTTCTTATTATTCTCGAAATAGGTGTAAGATTTTGAAAAAAAAAAATAATGCGCCAGTATGTAGGCAACGATTTTCCTAAGTGATGACTAATCGAAAGAAGTATACTGTACATTGTTGCAATCGTGTTGATGATAAGAAAAAATATTTTAATTTATAAGACTAACTTTCAATTAATTGTTTTAACGGTTACTTTACTTGTTATTCTCAAAATAGGTGTGAGACTTTGATAAAAAATTACAATGCGCCAATATATAGGCAACGATTTTCCATAGTGAAAAGTAATAGAATGAAGTATAGTGAAATATATTTAAACGCAAGCGTTTTGATAAAAAAAAATTATTTTAATTTATACGCGAAACTTTAATTAAAAATTTGTATTTTTCGCTTAACCCTTCCCTTCACTTTCAAAGCAAAACAATTCTAAGAATTTAAAAAAATTAATATTATGTCTAGTTGTAGTTAACAAATACAAGTTTTTGTTATAAGATTTATTGTTCGGATCTATTTTGGCAAATAAAGAGTTGTTAAGTGCACTTCAAATTGTAAAATATCAGATTCTACAAACCATTTCTGGCGTGAAAAGAACTTTAAGTGCCAACAGTAAATCCGACCGGAATTCCCAATGAAAACTAGTTCAACTACTTTTTCAATTCAAATTTTATATCAAACCAAGCTCCTCACTTGAATGACATTTAATGGTTTGTGAGTTATAAATTCAGCAAATTTAAAAGCATAAAAGCATAAATTTGCTTACAATTTAAATATGAATAGTGGCTGCGATATATTTTGATTAAGAAACACTTAAATTATGAGCGTCTATCACTTCTACCACCAAATCAGCTTGATGTGCCAATAACTGTGGTCAATTGATTCAAACAATGCCAAGGCATTTGTGAATCATATATGTATATTGTATTCATATGTATTGTTCTTCTGACAGCTCAGAAGTGACTAACTGTTTCCAGCAGTAATTAGCCATGGTTGGATTCGCCTATTCAACACTATGTGTTATTGATTAACGTTGCAAATTGCGTTGAGTAAATGCAATGTCATGTCTAAGGCTGGGTTATGGCTGAAAAAAACCACGGAATTTGAAAAGGAGTGCAGTTTAAACTAATTTTTATATAATAAATGGTTTTTGTAGCAGAGCTCTGTGTCAAAAGGTATCAGTTGCTTTTGGGTTAGAAATATAAATTATTGCCTTACCTGACGGCGAGGGTCCTTGGACAGCTGTTTTAAAACTAACTGGTTTAAGCGTTTGAATCTGTATCTTTTGATTACTTTCTCATTACATGTAATTACGAGGTCTGTGATTACTTTATGACTGCAAGTAATTAAGTGGCTTTTGATTAAATGTATTAACGAATTTTGTCATTATTTTATGACTACATGTAATTACGCATTTTGTGATTACTTTCTGATTACATGTAATTTCGTAGTTTTTGATTATTTTTAATTACGAACTTTGTCATTATTTTATGACTACATGTAATTACGCATTTTGTGATTACTTTCTGATTACATGCAATAACGATTTCTGGTATTTAACGTAATAAATGATGATTTTTTAATTGTTTGTTATTGTTGATATTTCGAATTGTAATTAAAATAGCATTACAAAATTGAGTATTGCAATTATTGTAATAACGCCTACTAACAATTTAAATTAAAACAATAATGATTACAATTACTGTAATCATAATCATTAAAACTAAATACTAGGTAATTTAAAAAATGTAATGATTATTACTACTGTAAGAGTAATCAAAAAAATCTGGATAGAGTAATTGTCGAAAAGTCGTAATCATTAAAATTAAATATTATGTAATTGAAAAAATTTAATGATTACAATTATTGTGGGAGTAATCATGGAAAATGAATATAGTAATTCTAATTAAAAATAATAATAGTAAGAATACGAATAGTCGTAATCATTAAAATTAAATATTATGTAATTGAAAAAATTTAATGATTACAATTATTGTGGGAGTAATCATGGAAAATGAATATAGTAATTCTAATTAAAAATAATAATAGTAAGAATACGAATAGTCGTAATCATTAAAATTAATTGTGATAGTAATTTAAAAATGTAGTGACTATTGGGTTCTACAATTAATTACAATTCATACTTGATGATATTTTACACTTTTAATTTTGGTTCAAAATAAATTATCGTACAACAATTCCTTTAGATACGCTTTATATGTATATTCTCTCGTTTTATCAGCGATCCATATAACTTCCTGAAGTTCACTTTGCTAGCATTAAAGCTACTTATTTATATAAAGATGAATTATTACGGTTTATTATAGTAAACCATTCTTTTGAAACGTTTTATTTGTACAAGTAGATAAGTATTAAAAACAACAGCGCAAAAACACTAGAAATAGTATAGTAAATACCTCGATGTATATCTATGTACATGCGCAGAAATCTATTTACTTATATTTCTAAAATACAATTTGAAGAAGATACATTTCAAAGATAACTGTAATAATGGTTAATGGCGTTGCCAAAGGCGTTGACGACAGCAATTACTAGTGCCTATGCCGTTGCCAATCACTGTCTACTACCGGTTGGCTTCAAGAGCTGAGCAGTTCAATTCGAATTTGAAATTGTTGGAAAAAAATGTTTGAGTGCCGAACTTGGCAATGATCTTCAAAATGACAGACTAACGCTTGAACAGCAAGTAGTGAGCTAAATGAAATATTGAAAATACGAAAATATCTATCAAAATAAATAACAAATAGGCAACTGGCTGGATTAAAATACATTTTTATTACGCTGGTTTAATAAATAAAAGCTTTCCACGAACTTAAAGAGCTCTCCGGTTCTTTTATTATATTATTTTCGGTAGATCCTTTTTATTCGAATTATAGTCAGAGTAATTATAAACTGATGTAATTACACAACGTCATGAATATTCAACTACTACGCACCGTACCTTTCTTAATAGCATTTCACTTACAATTAATAACGTGGTATGATCTAGAGTATTTACTTGGAAGGGCAACTTGCATCTTATAATACAAATTACAGTAATCAATTTTATATTGTGTGGTATACTTTTAAGTTTAAAAAAACCGACACACACATTGTTCTATTCTTTTGCTGTATGCACTTTTAGGTAAAGGCGTTCGAAGCTACTCAATTACAAAGCAAAATTGCGGCAAGTAACTTTTAACTGCATACATATTTTTTATTGTCGGCCCAATGTTTGCCCGTCATACAGTACTTAATAGATTACTACGCTATTGTATGACTATTAGTGTAACATTACTGCTGATCAATCATTACCATCAATGAGATCACACCTAACTATTGATTACTGCAGGTTTGGTGGTTTTATGTATAAACGCTTGTTATTACCTATAAAAAGGTTTAAATTTACTTTGAAATAAGAGGAGGTCAGCAAGAATGAGTAAAGTATTATTATTTGTTACCGCAATGTTTTAATTTTTAGAAAAAAACTATATTAAGAGGTTATGTGCACATATAAGTTTGAGTTTTCATTTTTAAAACGAAGGCTCATCATACTCATCATTTATATATAATATATATATTCTTTCTAGGGTATCCAACGTTTTCATTTGCGTATAACGAACTTATGGGAAACTCAATATATCTTTTACAGGGTATAGAAAGCTTTAATAATCGGCGATTCATCTCGAAAGGCATTGAATTCATTCAAACCTGTATCCGATTGACAGTAATTGTCTGAAAGTGAAGAAGATTTTTCTGATGAAATTATTTCAAATCTAAAACCAAAAATAATATTATTGCTGCTGATTAATATCGAAGAAAAATACAAATTTTCAATTTTGACAAAATTGGAGCATCCCTAAAACAATAATTGATTATACTTAAACCATTTTCTTATTATTCTTGAAATATGTGCGAGACTATAATGATAAGAAATAATAATGCGCCAAAATGTAGGCGAGGATTTTCCATGGTCATGAGTAATAGAAAGAAGTATAGTGTAAACAATCGTAAGCGTTGCTATTGTGATTTTTGATAATTTGATTGAATTTTGACAAATGCGGACTTTCTTAAAGGAAAACTTGCTCAAAAATCGAAATTATTATCAAAAATATT